TGACAATTCGGAACAGCTCAGCCGGACGGTTCTTTGCAGACGCAATAGTGGCCGCAAAGAAGGCCTTCTTTGCGGCTTTTATTGCCGCGGCATATGCCCTTAAAAAGGACACAAACCGTGTTCGATTTGGCTCACTCGGATCTGAACGCCACACACTCTCTAGTTCCCTCTTCCTCTTCCCACACACTCTCTAGTTCCCTCTTTTATTGAGGGCCTTGGCCTTTGTAAGCCACACCAAGTCCTTCGGGAGATGTTAGCGGGGTAAAAATAAAGTTAATAATAATAATAATAATAATAATAAAACTGCTGGGTCGTTAAATGCTAATCAGGTGCTCCAGCATTATTTCTGCGTTCTCCAGTAATAATGCGCCGTGCCCAGGTTGGGCCATCACATGCTCTGCTACAGCCGGCTTCTAAGGCGGAATGACCCGGCCGCGCCTTTCACGTTCCTTGAGTCCTGCTTGGGCAAAAGAATATTTTCTGAGAGTATTTTCTGATAATGTTTTTAGAAATACTTTTCCTATATATTTTAATGAATATTTTTGTGGATATTCTTCTGCAAAAATATATACAAATATATTTGTGTATACTGTAATTTTAAGAATATTTTCACAAATATTTTGTGTATATATATGAGTATTTTATGTGAATAGAAATACAAATATTTTGCCAATATTTTAGTGATTATTTATGTGAATATTTTAAGGAATATGATAGAGAATATTTTTGTAAATATTTTTACAAATATATTTCTGAATATTTTTGTGAATTAAATTTTTTAAAAAAAATACAGCAGGGATCCCATCAGGTCCACTGGCTTTTTTATTTTTTAGTTGGCTGATGTACAAGACATAAAGAGTAAATAACAACAATAACACAGCTCAAGGTGTGTATATGGGGTGTGTGTGTGTGGGAATTAAAATATTTTTGTGACTATTTTTCTACAAATATTTATGCAGATACTTTTGTGAACATTTTAATTAATATTCTTATAGTTTTATCCACAAATATTTTTATGAATATTGTTGTTGGTATCTTTAGGAATATTTTTGTGAATAATTTTCTGCAAATACTTATACAGATATTTAGTCAATGCTTTTGTGAATATCTTTATTATCTTTTGTGATTTTTTTTCAAATATTTTTGTATCATTACGGATATATTTCTGTGAACACAAATGCATATGTACATACATAAACATACACATATGGAGGGTGTGCATGTATGGGGTATATATATTTCTCTCTGTGTGTGTGTGTGTGTATGGTGCAGTGCTATGGAATCATGGGAGTTGTAGTTTTGCTAGGTCTTTAGCCTTCTCTGCCAAATAATCTTAGTGTTAGATACTTTTCTCCAAGATTGTTTTGCAGAGAAGGCTGAAGGCCTAGTAAACCTACAACTCCCACTATTCCGTAAGTGTATGTATGTATGTATGCATGCTGTGGCTGAGCTCAGTGCCTGGCTTCAGATTTAGACAATAATAAAAGGCACCTCCAAAGGTCATCCAGCCAGACCTCTTTCTGCAAGGCAAGAGGACAAGAGAAAATCTCTCCCAACAGAGACCCATCCAGCCTTTGCCTAAAGGCCGCAGAGAAGGAGAGTCCAGCACCGTTGAGGGAAGTCTGGATTCCAATAGACATGGAAGGGACCCCTAACGCCGACCCAGTTCCGTCATAAAGGAAGACAGCAGGATTTGAGCCCTTCTGACAGACGGCCATGCAGCCTCTGTGTCAAGACTTCCAACCAGGGAGGTTCCATGGGACTCCAAGGCAGTAGCCTATTTACTCCTTGGTTGAGCAGCTCTTGCCATCGGGTGGAGGTGGGATCGTGTTCCCCGCAGCTTGAAGGCAGGCCTCCACCTCCCGCCCTCCCTCCTCAACGGGATCCCCTCCAAGCACGTAAACATGGCTCTCCTGTCCCTCCCTCCCTCTCCCTCTCTCTCAAATCCTTCTTTCCTCCAAATGAGGCATGATCCCCATCTCTTCCTCTTCTGGGTATTGGATCTCCAAGCTGTCTCCTTCTTTTGGATTTTGCGTCCTTGGATCTTGTGTGTTTACCTTTGTGTGTCAGCTCACGATAGCTGCTCCCAAATGAAGACACGAGACACACTCTGTATCACTGGAAACTCTTACTGGAGGAATCTTTGATATGCAAAAAGCCGAGAGTGTCAGGCAGCCATCGGCATTCCCATATATACCCTCCCCCTCATTCAAATGTACAATTCCCACCAAGAGAAAACCCCAAAAACCCCGCGTAATTATCCCGCCAAGTTCCTCATCCGTTTCCTCTCAGGGTCGGACACCGCAGGGGCCTCATCAGGATGGAATGCCAGCGGTCCTGGTCTCTGGCGCCAGAATCCAGGCCCTGAACACTGGGTCCTGACGTGGTCTCCTCCTCCTCCTCCTTCTCCTCTTCCACCAAGTATGGCTATTGTCCTCCCTCCATTGCCTAACGTTGTTCCCCTGTGTCTTTTTAGCAGACTACAATGGAGCACTGGGTGCACTTTTCCCAAGTCCTTGGGTAACCTTAATTGATACGTGACATCATTGATCCTTTTCAAAATTCTGAAGGGGCCTATGTAGCGCGGTGCCAGTTTTCTTGAAGGAAATCCTACCTTCAGGTTTTTTGTACTTAGCCAAACTAGGTCTCCTCCCAGCGTTTCCCCTTCTTGGCGCTTTCGGTCGGCAAATAGCTTGTGTTTCCTCTGTGTCTCCTTGCCGCCCCGCCCCGACTCCTTGGCCACTCCTCGTTATCGGGGCTCCCCTCCTCCCCCCTCCATTCCGGTAGCTTCAGGAATGGTGCTACCTCCCCCTCATTCAAATGTACAATTCCCGCCAAGAGAAAGCCCTGCGTAATTATCCCGTACACTATCTCAAAAGGCGAATGGCCGGTGGCCGAATGTACTGCCCCGTTGAACGCCACCTCCGCAAAAGGTAATAACTGCCCAATCGAATTGCCCTAACGTTTGTTGCGTGGTTCGGACCCCCCCCCCCCCCCCCCCCCCCCCCCCCCGGTGGTCATCGGATGGAATGCGGAACTCAGGTTCCTCTCTGCCCCCAACATCTGCAGAAACTTTCCCCAGAACTTGGCTGTGAATTGAACTCCTCGATCGCTGATCACTTTATCAGGGCACCCATGTAGACGGTAGTTATGTTTGACATACAATTTGGCTAGTTTCTCTGCTGAGGGAAGTTTTTGCAAGGCTACAAAATGGGCTCGTTTTGAGAACAGACTCAATACTGTGTCTCACTCTGGGGTTTAGAGGGGCCCCTCCCTCCCTTCCCCACCCTCCCTCCCTCCCTCCCTTCTATTGTTGAATCACCTTTGAACCAAGACCAACTTGTGTTCACTCAAAGCATCAGAATTCATTCCTTGTTTTTATGAATCTGTGATTACTTTTGCTGGTATGTAACGAAATATCTAATTATAATGTGGGTTTTGAACATGTTTATTAAGGTTAGTATATTGCAAGCGCTGGCCAGCTTGAGCTACAGCTGCTTGTTTGATGCGTTGCCATAGTAACAAAGATTGCAGTAGAAATGTATCTATTTCAGCAGAGCTTAGGAGCCAAAGGGGCGGAGCTAACTGCCAACAGGAGTAGAGCGAACCTTTTGAAAAGGTTAGCCAGTCTTTAGCCGGACAAGCCAAAGGAAGGTTGCTTCTGGCTGTGTTAGAGCTGGACCAAGGAGTTGAAGTCTTCAGCCTTGATATTCAGAGTGTTAAATGGACCAGTTTAGAAGTAGAAACTAGGTTGTGAGCAAGGGGAAAGGAATTCCCGGTAATGTTTTGTGTCTTCAGTGGGAGAGCGGAAGTAAATAAAAGGCGAATCTGAGCCTAAGTGTCAGTCAGTGGGACTGAGGGTAGAAGTGTACTTTGAGAGAGAAATTCACCGTTAACCTATTGCTAAACCGAAGAAACTACAAGGTTACATTTACCCCGTCAGAAGACTGAATAACATTTTAGAGTAAAGGAAGTTATTAAAGTCAGATTGGCAAGAGTATGAGCCATTCTGGAAGTTACATAGAAACTCCTTCAAGTGTTCATGATCATAAAAGTGAACTGTAACAATATCTAAGAAGTACTGTGAAGAAACTACTGTGTAACCAATAAGCTTTGCGTGCCTGAGAATTCAGTTTCTTACCACAACGACTTGTGTCAAGTGAATGAAGTGAAGATTTTCTTCAAGGGAGACGGCCGAAGATCTTTTGGAACACGAATCAGTTTATGGTATTGGGTTACGTATTTTGGAGTGTCACAAACAAGGTGTTTTGAAAGTCAAACCTCTCTCATTCAATTCCCATACAACTCTCTCTCCAGCTTCACATGAACATATATATTTAAATAATAAACTGCTCAGCCACAACTACGCTACACACACCTCTACTATTTACTCTCCTCATTGCCCAGTTCTTTTGGGTGTGGTGTGTTCCACATATATTTAATGGTGGCAGTGGTGGGATCATAAAATATAGGTTCCTCCTGCCCAAGAATTCTTTACTGTATTTCCTTGGATGCTGGTGGTTGTGTCTCAGTGGCCATGGTAGTCCACGCCTTGGTCACATCCCGTTTGGACTACTGCAACACTCTCTATGTGGGGCTGCCTTTGAAGATAGTTTGGAAGCTGCAATCACTGCAGGGATCGGCAGCCGGATTGCTAGCCGGAGCGCCATACCGTGAGAGGACAACTCCCATGCTGCGGCAGCTCCACTGGTTGCTGATCCGCTTCCAGGCTAAATACAAAGTGCTGTTCGTTACCTAGAAAGCCTTAAACGGTTCAGGCCCAGACTGTTTGCAGAGCCTCATGTCTGTATACAAAGTGGCCTGAGCCTTGTGATCCGCAGAGGAGGCCCTGCTCTCAGTCCCACCCCTGTGTCAAGAGTGGCTGGTGGGACTGAGAGACGGGGCCTTCTCCGTGATCACTCCTTTCCTCTGGAACTCCCTCCCAAAAGAATGTTAAACTGCTCCCTCTCCTCGCTTTTAGACAACTGCTGAAAACCCACCTGTGCACTTTGGTGTATGGAGAGGAGGGAGACTAATATGCCCAACTTATAGTTTTGCCTAGATAGGTTAAACCTTGTCTAGAGACTGGATCTGACTTCAGCCCGCTGCTTGTGGCATAACATGTCACCTTTTTGTAAGGGTCCCAGCTATCGTTCTCAGTTGCCTTCATTTAGTGTCAAATGTATATTAACTCTTATAACCATATAGGTTATTTATGTTTGTATTGTTGCATGATTTGTTTGTTACTAAGTTTTAGAGTTAGGCTGCTTTTATGTGGTTTGTTCTGATGTTCTCCTGTTTTGAATGTTTGCCATACACGTTGGAAACCACGCTGGGTCCCTTTGGGGAGATAGGGCAGTTTACAAATACATTATTATTATTATTATTATTATTATTATTATTATTATTATTATTCATGCCTCTGTGTCTTGGTATTTCCACTGTCAACATGATCCATGGAGGCAAAAGAGGATAATTTTTTGTGTTCAAGGATGTTTGGGGCTTCATGTTTAACCCTTTGCTTCTTCTTTCTTGACCAGGGACGTGTGGGTTTCCGGAGCCGCCCCGGCATGATGAGAAACAAACCAGCATCTAGTGGATATTGAGGAATTTGGAAGCCAAAGTCCAATAAGGAAACCAGTCCGATTTGAAAAAGAAGTCCTCTCAAGGCACCCATCTGGCTGAATTCTTAAATTCACTTTTGATTATAAGAGTAGAATCATAGAAAAGACTGCATGGCCCATCTAGTCCAAACCCTGTCATGCAGGAGAAGCGGTCAAAGTACTACTGACAGATGGCCAGCCTCGGTAGAAAAGTCCCCAGAAGAGCCTCCCCTAAATTCTGAGGCACAGAATTCCTCTGCTGAGCAGCTTTTCCAGTCAGGAAGTTCTTCCTAATGTTCAGAAGGAATCACCTTTTCTTCGATTTGAAACCATTGCTGCAAGTAACCAGAAAGGGAAAGAGAAGTGACGGGTGTCCATATTACTATTAAAGGTACATAACATTGTCAACATGGAGGAGAAAGCACATAAATGTACTGAATGCGGAAAGAGGTTTAGGTGGCACGCACATCTGAAAATACATCAAAGGATTCACACTGGGGAGAAACCCTATAAATGCCTTGAATGTGGACACACCTTCGCTCGCAGTTCATCTCTACAATCACATCAAAGGACTCACACTGGGGAGAAACCATTTAAATGCCTGGAGTGTGGAAAGAGCTTCTCTCACAGAGGACATCTACCGAGACATCAAAGGATTCACACTGGGGAGAAACCATTTAAATGCCTGGAGTGTGGGAAGAGCTTTGCTGACAGTGGAAACCTTCGTTCACATCAAAGGACTCACACTGGGGAGACACCCTATAAATGCTTGCTGTGTGGACAGAGTTTCAGTTGGAGGGATTCTCTTCAGCAACACGAAAGGACTCACATGGGAGAGAAACCATATAAATGCCTGGAGTGTGGACAGAGCTTCATTCAAAGTTCATCTTTACGTTCACATCAAAGGATTCACACTGGGGAGAAACCCTATACATGCCTGGAGTGTGGACAGAGCTTCACTCAGAGGGGACATCTACATAGACATCAGAGGACTCACACTGGGGAGAAACCCCATATATGCCTGGAGTGTGGACAGAGCTTCAGTGAGAGTGGAGACCTACGTTCACATCAAAGGATTCACACTGGGGAGAAACCCTATACATGCTTGGAGTGTGGAAAGAGCTTCACTCAGAGTGGACTTCTACATAGACATCAAAGGATTCACACTGGTGAGAAACCTTATAAATGCTTGAAGTGTGGACAGAGCTTTAATAATAATTCACGTCTACGTGTCCATCAAAGGACTCACACTGGAGAGAAACCCTATAAATGTCTGGAGTGTGGACAGAGTTTCACTGAGAATGGAAGTCTACATAGACATCAAAAGACTCATACTGGGGAGAAACCCTATACATGCCTGGAGTGTGGACAGAGCTTTGCTCGCAGTGAAAGCCTACGTTCACATCAAAGAACTCACACTGGGGAGAAACCTTATAAATGCTTAGAGTGTGGATGGAACTTCACTGAGGGTGGAAGTCTACGTAAACATCAAAGGATTCACACTGGGGAGAAGCTCTATAAGTGCCTAAAATGTGGACAGAGCTTCACTCACAGTGGAAGTCTACGTTCACATCAAAAGACTCACACTAAGGAGGGACCTTAAAAATGCTGAGAGTCTGGACAGAAATTCACTGAGGGTGGAAGTCTACGCAAACATCAGCAGATTCACACTGGGGAGAAACCCTATACATGCCTGGAGTGTGGACAGAGCTTCAGTCAGAGTGGAGACCTACGTTCCCATCAAAGGACTCAGACTGGGGAGACACCCCATGAAAGCGTGGAGTGTTGATAGAGCCTCTGTGAGAGTTCAGAGCTTCATATACATAGATTTTCACTGGAGACAACAGTGGCATTTGACCTAAATACCACTTTCCAAGTTTTTCATGTTGTTTACACACACTAATCATGCATCCTTTCATGACATGATAGTTCAATTGCAGAAAACAGAGGTTAAACCAATCCCATGTAAGATTTTCAATATATATAATATAATAATATATATAGGTTTCATATACTCTTTTTGTATATACAATTCTTTTGTAGTTTCCTCTATAGCCGCTCCATGTGGTTTTCTCTTCACAAAGGGGTTTTATTTTCTTAATTATAAACATTAATTTTAGTGGTAATTAATGTAACTCAAGCCACAAATTGTGCAGAAAGATTACAGCTGAACCTACACTTGAACTTGCCAGCACTTCACCTCTGTAGCGATTTAGCCTTTGTGGATATCTTTAAAGAGAGGCCGGGTGGCCTTCCGGGTTGGCAGAAGGGGGCTGGACTCCATGCCCTTTGGGGGTCTCTTCCAACCCCAGTGAAGTATAGACTGCCTTGGAGTGCGGAGTCTCCTCTGGAGGTTTTTGAGCTGAGGTTGCATGGCTGTCTGCTGGGAGGGCTTTGACTGTGCCTTCCTGCCTGGCTAAAGGGAGTTGGAGTGGATGCCCTTTGAGGGTCTCGTCCATTGGGGGGAACCCTTTTTTATGCAACGCACCTGTGGACTACATACAGCGGACACGCATGTGTCATGGCACACAGTTTGGAAGGCTCTGGTCAAAGACAAGACAATGGCAGTGCTCATTAATGCTGACAAACGAGAGCACACTCTTGGGGTCCTCTTATCATATTGGGGTGCCTTTGCAGAAAGGCCCGGAAGTATTGGACTCAAAAGCATATGGTGCTGGACACAAATGGTTAAGGTTTCGTTTTCAATGAGAACAGAGTTTTGTTTCGTAGCAATGCCGGGGAGTCGCCTAGAAACAAAATTGGGAAGATGCCTTGAAGAGACGTCGTTTCGCCTCAGAGATGGAAGACGTCATGATCCCACTGGAAGAAAGGTCCAGGCCGCCTTATCACTACTTCCCAACAACAACAAGAACAACAGGGGCAAACGTCAGTTGTGGGGTGTATGAATTAAAAGACTTGCCAAAGAAGAAGTGTGGTTGCGTAGGGTTATCTGAGGGGAACAGAGCCATTAGGGACACGACTCAGGGCCAGGTTCTTAGAATTAGACCCCGGTCTGTGTGCTCGTTTTCTGGTGGACTTTGTATATCTATTTAGGAGTGTTTCGGTGGTGTGTGCTTTCTGATATACTTTTGTAGTTGTGGCAGCCACTCTGTGAGGTGCTCAGTTTTAGCGTGTATATATACATACACATACATACATTACTATGTTCCAGTTTTTAATATCAGTATCAGAGACTGGGAAGACAGGCAGAGCGAGGGTTTCATAGGAAACCTCTGGTCCTTTTGGATATGGTTTTCCCCTTCTAGGTTGGTCGCGTGGCTCCAAGTAGGATTTTCATGCTTTGTTTTTTGTTTTTTTGCATTTCATTTTTTAATGAAGACTAGACGTGACAAATACACATGTAAACAAAAGTACAACAATGCAACAATAACAATAACAACAACAAGACTTGTATGACTTACAAATACTATATAAGTTTCCCCTTGAACTTCCAGATTCCCTCAAGTGAAGCTGTACATTTCTTCTTTCACACAATATCCTACGTAACAAAGGAAAAGAGAACTAATCTGAGACCTGCAATGTCATGGCCCTTGGGCTTCTTCTTTTTCCTTCCCCCCCCCCTTTATTTAATCCCTTTTTGAAACTTATTTTTAAACAATTTTGTAGTTCTGTATTAAAAAATTAACGAATTTATTCCAATCCATATTATTAGATGGCGATCTATTTTGAGAGTCTTTCTGAATCGACAAGTCCACGTTCACAATATCCATAGCCTTTTCTATTCAAGAATTAAACGTTGCTGTCTCTTTATTTTTCCATAAGCGGGCAATATAAATTCTTGCTGCCCTAGTAAGGTAAAAAAGCATCCCATCACCATTTTTATTTAATTTGAGGTCCGTCATTCCCAACAAAAAATATTCTGGTTTGAATTCAAAATTTAAATGAAAGATTTTCCCTAGTTTCCTGTAAATTTCATACCAGAACTTTCCCCCCACTTTTCAGTCCCACCACACATGTCTAAACGTGCCCACTTTTTTCTTGCATCTCTAGCTTTTCTTGTTGATCTTACTCTTGCTGTATTTAGCAGGTTTTTCCGGAGTGTGGTACCACAGATAAAACCTCTTAAACCCTTTCCCTTTGATCTCTGCTGCATATGTGTATTTCAGTTTCTTTAACCAGACCTCCTCCCATTCCGCCATAGCAATCGTATGTCCTTCTATCTTTGCCCACTTAATCATTACTGTTTTTACTCGTTCTTCTTCCGTTGCCCAGGCTCAAAGTTGTTGGCACAGTCTTTTAATCGATTTTGTGCCTGTTTTTATGATTTTATCCCATAAAGTTTCATTTGTTTCATTCTATCTTTTTTTAAAGTTCTCACCCATTTGCCAGTATTTGAACCAGGAAAACTTAGGTTCTATTAATTTAGTCTCCTCCAATGTTTTCAGTCTTGTTACCTGGCGGCTTGTATTGAGTAGTTGTCTATAAGTCGGCCATCTACCACTTGGCATCTCTCTCCTTTGGTCTGCCTCCTTTGGCGAGAACCACACTGGAGTTTTAGTATACCATCTCCTTTGATATTTATTCCGTACTAGCTGTACCCGGCCACGCCTTGCTGTGTCCCATTGTGGAGAAATGGGAAAGAAAGAAAAGAGGAAGAGCTGGTTTCTAAGCTATCAATACACAACAGAAGTGGCAAAGAGTCAACCTAAGATAGGCCCATTTCAGTCTCCTCGAGGCTGAGGTGTGGAAGGGCCCTGGGCTACCTGAGTCCACACTGCCATATAACCCAGTTCAAAGATTTTATATAGGTATTGTTGTCATTATGGACATATAGATATTATTATAGGCATATAGATATTATTATTAAAGCTATAGAGGTATTAGTATTATAGATGCTATTTATGAATTTTATATCAAAAGCATTGCATAAATTAGTATAAATCTGTTAAAAAATAGAAGGAGCAGAGGGCTCAATATCTTTTGAGCAAAAATAGGCAACAGATGTATGGATATTATTACAGGCCTATAGATATTATTATAGGCATATAGATGTTATTATTTTTCTTGTTATTTTTATAGATATTATATAGCTATTATTATTATAGATGTATACATATTATTATATTATTATAGATATTCTTATAATTATTATAGACATTGATATTATAGGCATATAGGTGTTTTTGTTATAAATGTTCAGATATTTTTGACAGACAGATATTATAATTATAGACATATGGATATTATTATAGACCTCTAGATATTATTATAGGCATATAGACATTATTACAGACATATAGATATTATGATAGATATGTAGATATTATTGTTAAAGACATATAGATATCATAGACACATATATTATTATAGATTGATAGATACTATTATGATAGATATACAGATAATAATATTGTAGATATAGCCCAGGCTTGTTATAAAGTAAGAAATGGATGGCCATCTTTTGGGAGTGTTTTGATTGTGCCTTCCTGGGCAGCCTTTCCGAACTCTCAGAGCGTGGGTTTTTGTCCTTTCGTTGAATACTGGACATCATTTCCCAGAATTCCTTCCCCTAGCTCAGTATGGGAAGGAATTCTGAGAAAATCCCTCCCGAGTGAGTTCCCAGCAGCCCAGGGACAGGCAAGAAAGAAAGGAAAGGAGATCTCTCTCTCTGTCCCTTCCTCCCTCTCTCTGAATCCTTTGGGAAGAGAGGCAGGGGTAGCCAGAGGAATAGAAAGGCCCGGAAATATTGGACTCAAAAGCATACGATGCTGGACAGAAATGGTTAAGGTTTCATTTTCAATGAGAGCAGAGTATTGTTTCGTAGGAATGCCAGAGAGTCGCCTAGAAACAAAATTGGGAAGATGCCTCCAAGAGGATCACTGCAGGATCACAAAGGAAAAGAGAACTAATCTGAGACCTGCAATGTCATGGCCCTTGGGTTTCTTCTTTTTCCTTTTCCCCCCTCCTTATTTAATCCCTTTTTTGCGTGAAGGACATAAATTGGGTTGTTAGGTGTATCGTGTCCAAATTTGGTGTCAATTCCCCCAGTGGTATTTGAGTTCTGTGAATACCACAAACGAACATTACATTTTTATTTATATAGATTTTAATAAGTGACGCTCTTATGAAGTGGTTGTTAAAATTTCTTTCCAGCGTAACTTTTTCTTTCCAAATATAACTGTGCCAACCTCTGCACAGATCCTGTCCTTCCAACGCTCGAATTCTTCTATTTTCCAATAAAGCCCAGTCTTTGACCCACGTTAATGCCGCTGCATCGTAATACAACTGAATGTCTGGCAATCCTCAACCTCCTCTCTTTCTATTCTGGCCCTTTTGTTTTGCCAAATGAATTTGCTTATGTCCTTCTGTCAATTTGTTAGAGTCATTTTAGATCTTAGTATTGGAATCATTCGGAACAAGTACAGTATCTCTGAGAGGATACTCGTCTTGGTTACTGCTATTCTGCCCAAGAGGAAAAGATCTCATTTTTGCCATTGTCTCATCTTTTCCTTTATTTTCTTCCATTTGGCATCGTAATTGTTTTTTAATAATTGGGCGTTACTAGACGTGATCTGAATTCCAAGGTATTTTATTCTTCTTGTTATTTCTACACCAGTTTTTGCTTGTAATTCTTCTTTCCTCGTTCTAGTCATGTTCTTAGTAAGGAACTTAGTTTTTATCTTTATTTATCTTTAGCCCCTCCACTTCTCCGAATGTGAGTTCTCTCTACCTCCTGTCCCACTGATTCAGTGGGTCCTCCGTTATACAGACTGGTATATAAAACTTCTAAAAAAATAAATAAATAGTCTGCAAATGCAGCTATATTATAATTATGTGATCGTACCCTTAACCTTTTATTTCCGGGTTGTTCCTAATACATTCTAGCGGTATTTCTAAAGTCATGATAAAGATCCATGGGGAGAGAGGACATCCCTGCCTAGTTCCTTTATGAATTCTAATTTCTTCTGATGTATGTCCGTTTACTATAATTTTGGCGAATTGTTGAGAATATATTGTATACCATGTATTATGGCGATTCGAAAAGAAAGTCCCGTTCATCTTTATGAAAATATCTCCAAATATCTAGTAGTCATAGAATCATAGAATCAAAGAGTTGGAAGAGACCTCATGGGCCATCCAGTCCAATCCCCTGAAACAAAAAAGCAGGAATATTGTATTCAAATCACCCCTGACAGATGGCTGTCCAGCCTCTGTTTAAAAGCTTCCAAAGAAGGAGCCTCCCCACACTCCGGGGCAGAGAGTTCCACTGCTGAACGGCTCTCTGTTGGGAATCAAGAGCTGTTAGGCTCAAAAATAACCCTCTCTGGGGGTGATTCCACCAAAAATATAGCAGAGTGCAGGATGCACAGTAAATAAGCAGCAGAAACTTACATGTAGTGAGCAAGGTATGACTTCCATTCAGCAGGATGGAACAGGATTGCAGATCCACAACTCATAGGATCAAAATAATATGTTTATTAAAGATAAAAGAAATCCATTCTGGATAGGAAAGGTTCTTGGAGCTAACTAGCTTCACTGAGCTATCATCTAAGGTAAAAGAAAAGGAAAAATAATAAAAGTAACTATTTCTACTACATCCTTGCTGGACAAAAGCAAGATGCTTCCTCACTCTATGGAGGACAAAAAGGAAGAGAGCCTGAAAATGGAGACAGGCCACATGGCCCAGCCTAGGGCAATAAAGATACACTTAAAAGAGGAAGTTACGTTTTCCCTATAGGATTACATTCCTAGGTATTCAAATGGGGAGGAGATAGTACCATGCAAAGGGCAATCCCCCTTCTTAACCCCTTCTTAACCAACTTAACTACAGGAAATAGGGAGGAATCCCTAAGTTTATCTAGTCTATCTACTCATTGAGGGCTGGAGACTTGTGCAGTCAGGGATGAAACCCAACACTCTCACAGTCAGGAAGTTCTTCCTCAGGTTCAGATGGAATCTCCCCTCTTGTAGTTTGAAGCCATTGTTCCGCGTCCTAGTCTCCAAGGAAGCAGAAAACAAGCTTGCTCCCTCCTCCCTGTGGCTTCCTCTCACATATTTATACATGGCTATCATATCTCCTCTCAGCCTTCTCTTCTTCAGGCTAAACATGCCCAGTTCCCTAAGCCGCTCCTCATAGGGCTTGTTCTCCAGACCCTTGATCATTTTAGTCGCCTCCTCTGGACACATTCCAGCTTGTCAATATCTCTCGAATTGTGGTGCCCAGAATTGGACACAATATTCCAGATGTGGTCTAACCAAAGCAGAATAGAGGGGTAGCATTACTTCCTTAGATCTAGACACTATGCTCCTATTGATGCAGGCCAAAATCCCATTGGCTTTTTTTTGCTGCCACATCACATTGTTGGCTCAAGTCCCAAATTCTCTTTTAATAATTTGAAGTCTCTTGGGAGTTCTCCTGTGTAATGATCTTTCCTCGTTTTCATTCCCTTCGACTTGTCTAATGCTATATCTAATACCCCATTAAAATCACCCATGATAATTAGATCATCATATTCCTGTTCTGATATTTTTGTAGTTAACGTTTTCACAGATTTTGTTTTTGTCCCATTTGGCGCATAGATATTGCACAATAGTAACTTTCTTCCCCCAAATTGTATAATAATTCCCAAGATTCTGCCATCTTGATCCTTAAATACCTGTTGGGACAAGATCCTTTCATTTACATAAGTGACTACCCCTTTTTTTCTCTCCACATGATGCATAATATGTTTTCCCAAACTTTTTCTGAGTCAAATGAGCTACATGCTTATGGCAAATATGAGTCTCCTGTAAGGAAATGATGTCAAAATGACCTTTTTAAATTTGATTCCATATTTTCCTTCTTTTATTTGGGTTATTTAATCAATTCACATTGTTTGAATATATCTTAATTTTCTGAGCCATCTAGTTCCTCTTTTTCTCTGTCACAATCTAAGTTTGCTGTTGCCGTCTCAGAGAAGGTGGAGTAGTCCTTGGGGGATTTTTCTCTTGGTCTTTTCCTTTGTCGTTCCCAGCTATCTTCCTGTTCATGTTCTCCTCCTGTTCCACCTTCTGTTTCTTCTTTTACCCGGTTTTCTCCTTCCTTCCTTATATACTTGTTGTAAAAGGCCTTCACTTTGTATTCTGTTGTAAGCCAGTGCTTGTTGTCCTCCCAGGTCACCATTATCCCCTGTGATGGTGTGTATTTTTATTCCTATAGTCATGTATCATTTAGACAATAGTTAGTAATGGTAAGTATGTAGAATTGTATTTTATTAGGGATGGTAACTGGCTTGGCTTGCCTTGAGCTGAGTCGCTATAGCAATGGGGGCGGAGCCAACTGCCACTTGGCAGCGCAGCTTTTTGAAAGCTATCCGTCTGTAGCCGGAGAGTTACAGAAGAAGACTGATCTGTGAATCAGCAGTCTGTAACCAGAGAGTTACAGGAGAGGATTCTTCAGTGAGAGGATCAAGGATCTGATCTGTAGTTGTGAACTACAGAGGTAGTTGATCCCATGTGGAAGTAGAAATCCCACAGGAATCCTGTAGTGATAGAACCACAGGGAGGACTGATTCTTTGATTAGGAATCAAGAATTGTCTTGGAGCCAATACAGTTGAATAAGTCAAGTGCCTTATTTGTGTTACCAGAACAGTTGTTAAAGAAACATTTGCCTAAAGAAACCTTTTGAAATCTGTTTAGTGCCTAGAGTCATTCAAGAAACTCTATAAATGTAACCAGCTAAGTTTGTGCCTCTAGAGTGAAGTAACGTTGAATGTATTCTACTCCTGTTATATTCCAATAAACTTGTTACTGTTTTTCTCAAGCCTTGACTCAGATACAATTCCTTCTAAGTCAAACAGCCCTGTACAAGAAGAAGAAGAAGGACCAAATTAGGGTTATTAAATGTAAGCTATGCTATCAAATAAGTAAACCCCCCTTAAATATTGGTCCCTTGGCATTCAGCTCCTAAGTTGATATTCGACTTCCTCACATCCCCTCTCTATCATTTAAATTTTATATTTCTCTTTTTGAGTTCATCCGTTAGAAAAGAGTACTTTTGTCTCCTTTCTAAGACTGCCATTGGGTGTTCCTTTAGGATGGTGATTTTATTTCCTTTGTAAAATCTTGGGGTTCTAGTGTTTTCCTTTAACACTTCATCTCGGACACTTTTCTTTCCAAAACACACTATAACATCTCTTGGTACGTTATATCTTTTTGCATAATTTGATTGAATTCTATAGACTCTATTGATATTATCCTCAACCTGAAGCTGTAGGGCCACCATATTTTTAAGTATTTCTTTAATGTTCTCTTTATCTTCCTCCTGAATATTTCTAAATCTTAGTTGGTATTCTTTCTCTTTCGCCTCTAAGGTTTCTTGTTGTGTTTGTAATGTCATCAATTTTTTCTCTATTGAGTGTACAGTTTTTTTCCAATTCTTTCTGTTGATACTTTTGCTCTCTTTAGCGTCTTCTTTTCTTCCCTGCTTCAATACCTCAATCTCCCTATAAATTGTTTTTACTTCTTCCTTCACTATCATTTGCACTTCTTTGAATTCCTTTTTATTTCTTCCATTTCTCCCTTAATTGTATTATATTGTCTGTCTTGTTTTTCTTCAATTATTTGCACGTCAGTTTGTAATTTTAAAATTTCCCACATTATGTCTTTCATAGTGAATTCTTCTGTTATCGAGTCTTTTCTACCTTGTATTTTCCTTTCTCTCTCCTTTTCTCTGTCTTTATCCATCTTCATTTTCAATGTTGACATAATCTCTACTCTTTTCTCTATTTTCCTTTATCCTTTGTTTATATATTTGTCTACTATTCCCAATTTTCTTGAGCTAATTTTGACTATATATTGAGAATTTTTTTATGAATCTACCTTGTTACAGCATATGACAATAGATAATGCTAATTAATAATAATAATAATAATAATAATAATAATATTTGCCTCCGATTCTCTTTTCCGTTCCCTATGCAGGTGAAAATAAGTCTGGATAGAAACTAATTCTTATAGTTCTTATGAATATCCAGATATATAACCAGAGAGTATTCTTTAAGTACATGAAACAGAGAAAGAAAAGTTATTGGAGGGAAGATTTTTCCAATTCTACTGATCTAGCATTTCCGTGACCCAGTAGCTTTCCTGTCTGAGCTAGCAGAGCTGGTCTCAAATTCAGCCTTGGTCTCCCAGCGCCTGGTTGTGCTGGGAGACTTTAACATTCATGCTGAGACCTCCTTGACTGGTGCAGCTCAGGATTTCATGGCCGCCATGACGACCATCAGGCTGGACACACACTCGACCTAGTTTTTGTGGTGGACAGTAGAATGATCAGAGTGGAAGAACAAAACATCCTTCCTGTGTCATGGTCTGATCACTATCTGGTCAGTTTTAGACTCTCTGCTACCCTTAACCTCTGCAGGGGTGGTGGACAGGTTAAGATGGTCCGCCCCAGGAGACTGATGGATCCGGAGGGACTCCTGAGGAATCTTGGGGTTCTTCCTGCCATGGAGCCTGGCGATTCTGTCGACATCTTGGTCGATCTCTATAATAGGGAGATGACCAGGGCGATAGATACGATCGCTCCCGAATGCCCCATCACGTTGCGTCATGACATGCCATTTCCCTGGTTCACCGAGGAGTTGGCTGTGATGAAGCATATGAGAAGGGGCTAGAGCGCATTTGGAGGAGATCTTGGGACGTGTCTGACCAAGCACGGGCTAGAGCCTCTCTTAGGGTGTATACCGTGGCTATACAGGTAGCCAAGGAGTCCTTCACGACTGCCCGTATAGCGTCTGCAGCAAATAGATCATCGGAGTTGTTTTGGATCGTCTGGGAACTCCTTCAGCCACCTGTGGTGGAGGAGACTTTCGACGACCCAGCAACTCGGTGTTGCGATTTTGCACACCATTTTGCAGGCAAAGTTGCTCAGATACGCCCTGAGCTCGACTCCAATTTCATCACAGTGCCAGAGGAGGTGACTGAGGCATCTGCTCATCCAATTTTGTGGGATTCTTTTAGGTTTGTTCTTCCTGAGACCGTGGAGGAGGTCCTTGGGGCTGCGAGGGTGACCACATCGGCTCTAGACCCTTGCCCATCTTGGCTAATTAAATCGACCAGGGAGGGGTTGGCTGATTGGTTTGTGTTGATCATTAATGCATCATTGGAGCAGGGTTTTTTTCCATCTCATTTGAAACAGGCTATGGTTCGTCAGTTCCTCAAAAAGGCTTCCCTTTACTCCACGGTGCTGAACAATTACAGACCGATCTCCAACCTCCCTTTCTTGGGCAAGTTGCTGGAGCGGGTGGTTGCCTTCCAGCTCCAGGGCTTTTTAGATGATATCAGTCTGGGAGTCCTCTTGGATTCATCGCTTACACTTGAGGCTCAGGTGTTGGCGGTGTCCAGGAGGGCTTTTGCATAACTGAGACTCGTGTGCCAACTGCGACCGTACCTCGCGAAGGCTGATCTGGCCGGGGTGGTCCATGCCTTGGTCACCTCTAGCTTGGACTACTGTAATGCACTCTACGTGGGTCTGCCCTTGAAAATGGCTCGGAAATTCCAACTGGTCCAACAGGCAGCGGCCAGGATGTTAACTGGTGCTCCTTACAGAGAGAGGTCAACCCTCCTGTTTAAGGAGCTCCATTGGCTGCCGTTTATTTTCCGAGCCCAATTTAGGGTGCAGGTGCTTACCTACAAAGCCCTAAACGGTTTGGGACCACCCTACCTGCAAGACCGCATCTCCGTCTATGAACCCACGCGCTCACTTCGTTCATCTGGAGAGGCCCTGCTCGTGATTCCGCCTGCGTCGCAGGCGCGTTTGGTGGGGACGCGTGACAGGGCCTTTTCTGTGGTGGCCCCCCAACTCTGGAACACCCTCCTCAAAGATCTTAGACAGGCCCCTACGTTGGCAGTCTTTAGAAAGAATTTGAAGACCTGGCTGTTCTGATGTGCCTTTCCAGAATAGGAAAACTCCAACAAGTCCCAAAAGCACTTTATCAGAATTAAGATTGCTGCACACTGCACTTACCCTATAATCCTTACATATCACCTGTCACATCAGCACTTTTAATCCTGTACCCATTACTCTGGCCCGGCCCAGTTTTATTGTGTCTTGATGTATTGTTTATTGCTTGTTGTTTAATACTGCTTTAACTGTTTTTAATTTGCTTTAGGTTTTGTATTGTTATGTTGTGTTTGAGGCCTTGGCCTGTGTAAGCCGCATCGAGTCTTTCGGGAGATGCTAGCAGGGTACAAATAAAGATAATAATAATAATAATAATAATAATAATAATAATAATAATAATAATAATATATTTTTTTCAGTCCATAGCATCCCTTATCCCAATTCCAGTATGTTAACTCTAAATAGTCCTTTCGAATTAAATTCACAAAATCTCACAAATATTGTCTGGCCTTAGTAGCACTGATACTATTTCGATGTTGTTTTAAAGTAAAATTAATTCCCTTCAATCAGTAGCCTTAGAGTTCCATCAGCCTTAAAATGTAGTGAGGGAGGTACAAAGCTATTTGAGAGAACATTGAAGCACAGGGATTGTGGGATTCCAGGAGGTAAGTTTGGGCAGGAGGAGGGTGAGAGGGTAGAGATTATGGGAGGGAGTCAAACGAGAGAGCCTATTTTCTCCATTAGAATTGCAATATTACAGTCCAATGCTACAGTCTTATGCACAGGCCCAGCGTGCGACAGCACACCTATTGTTTCCATAGATTGTACTAGGTCCCCCCTTGCTATTGGACAACAACCTGTCTGCATGTACATTGAAGTCTCCCAATACGATGAGACTTGGGAACTTCAGGGCCCAGTCCGCCACAAGGTCTAATAATTTGGGGATGCTCTCGTTCGGGGCCCCAGGGGCCCGATAAACTAAGAGGATAGTCACACTTTGCCTAGCAGCCAATGTCAGACCTATACATTCGATACCCATAATATCTGGGGTAGGAATAGTTCTAATGGAGAAATGATCGCGGGCTACTATTCCCCCCCCTCCTCGACCCCCCCCCCCTTTCGAGATCTTTGAAGCATCTGGAAACCTGAAGATGTTCGTTCATACGAGGGAATATTATCTCCTTCTCTTATCCAGGTTTCTGTAATGCATACTACATCTGTCTTCTGATCAACAATAAAGTCTCGAAGGGTTGCTGTTTCGTTCACCACTGACCTAGCGTTGATCAGTTGCAAGGTCAAGGGGGATGAAGAAGGTTTCTCATTATCATATTTGGGAATATCACATAATACAGATGGAAGCCCAATCTGTCGCTGACTTTGTCTCTTTTTAGAGACCAGCTCGCTATCATTCTCATATATCCCTCTCCCGATGATTACTGGGATCGTCCTCCCAGTACTGGGTTCGTCTGTAATATCAGTTACGTGCTGGATGTTCGAAACACCTCCGGAAAAGGGAATGACGCAAGGCCTGAGAGGGTATGATTTTGGGCACCAACCTATTTGTTTAGTTATTTATTTATTTCAAAGTTAAATAAAGGCACATCACCTCTTTGAGGGACTCAGCCCGGTTTTACAACCATAAAAACACATACAATCAGTAAAATATCATAGTTCACAATTACAATAACACATTTAAAATAACAAATATATTTAAAACTACGGTGGTCAGTCGTCATATTAAAATCAAATATACATCATCTTCCATCCGAAATCCTAGAGTGTTGTCTCATTCATCGAAAGCCTGTCTCCACAACCACATCTTCACCCGTTTCCTGAATGTCAGGATAGACGGGGCGGTTCTGACCTCCGGTGGGAGAGAGTTCCAGAGTCGCGGGGCCAACACCGAGAAGACCTTGTCCCTCGTCCCCACCAGACACGCTTGTGAGGCCGGTGGGACCGAGAGCAGGGCCCCTCCAGACTATCTTAATAATCTTGATGGTTCATAGGGGAGAATACGTTCGGAGAGGTAAATAGGGCCGGAATCGTTTAGGGCTTTATAGGTTAACACCAGCACTTTGAATTGTGCTCAGAAGCTAATTGGCAGCCAGTGGAGCTGGAGTAACAGCGGAGTGGTGTGCTCCCTGTACCCAGCACCCGTTAGTAATCTGGCTGCCGAGCGTTGGACTTGCTGCAGCTTCCGGGCAGTCTTCAGAGGCAACCCCATGTAGAGAGCGTTGGAGTATTCTAAGCAGGATGCAACCAAAGCGTGGACTACTGTGGCCAAGTCAGACTTCCCAAGAATTGGGCACAGTATTCCAGATGTGATCTAACCAAGGCAGAATAGAGGGGTAGAATGACTTCCCTAGATCTAGACACCAATGCTTCCTCTTCATCCTGGAAAGAAGTCACGAGGGAATGCCAGCAGCTCCTATTGATGCAGGCCAAAATCCCACTGGCTTTTTTTGCTGCCGCATCACATTCCTGGCTCATGTTTAACTTGTTGTCCACGAGGACTCCAAGATCTTTTTCACACGTACTGCTCTCGAGCCAGGCATCATTCCCCATTCTGGCTCTTTGCATTTTGTTTTTTTCTGCCAAAGTAGAGTCTCTTGCATTTTTCCCTGTTTATTTTGTTAGACTTTATTTTGTTAGATTTGGCCCATCATCTCTCTAATCTGTCGAGATCGTTTTGAATCCTGCTCCTGTCCTCTGGAGTATTGACTAACCTCTAATCCCTCATCCATTCCATCTTGTTGAGGTTGAAGATGACTTTCTTTTTGTGAGAAGACCGAGGCAAAGAAGGTAATAAGTAGTTCTGCCTTTTCCCTATCCCCTGTCAGCATTGCCCCATCTTCTCCTCAAAGAGACCCTATCGCCTCCTTGTTTTTCCTTTTTCTACTGACATAAGAAAAGAAGCCCTTTTTATTGTTTTTAATGTCCCTGGCAAGCCTAAGCTTGTTTTGTGCTTTAGCCTTGCGGACCTTTTCCCTACAGGAGTTGGCTATTTGTTTGAATTCTTCTTTGGTGATTTCTCCCTTTTTCCACTTCTTGTGCATGTCTCTTTTGAGTCTTAGCACAGTTAAAAGTTCTTTGGATACCCATTCTGGCTTCTTTGCACTTGTCCTATTTTTTCTCTTTGTTGGCACGGTTTGCAATTGTGCCTTGAGTATTTCACTCTTGAGAAATTCCCATCCATCCGTAACTCCCTTGTCTTTTAGTATCTGTGTCCATGGAATGCTGCTCAGTGTTTCCTTCATTTTTCAGAAATCAGCTCTCCTGTAGTCCAAAATATGGGTTTGACTTGTCTTAATTTCGGCCTTCCTTTGTACCTCAAACTGCAGAACCACATAGTCACTTTTCCCTAAGGATCTGACCACTTCAACCCCATCAATCACATCCTCCGCATTTGTTAGGATGACATCGAGAGTAGCTGACCCTGTTGCTGCTTCTACCTTCTGGACCATAAAATTGTCTGCAAGGCAAGCGAGGAATTTGTTGGACTTTGTACTGTTGGCTGAGTTTGTTTTCCAGCAAATATCGGGATAGTTGAAATGACCCATGACTACTACGTCTCTTCTCTGTACCTGTTTGGTCAACTGTTGGCAGAAGACTTCATCAAGTTCTTCCTCCTGGCTTAGAGGTCTGTAGTAGATGCCAACAATGAGATCTTTTTGAGTCCCAGTTCCCTTGATTCTTATCCAGATGCTTTCAAGCTGGTTTCCCGGATTGCTGTCTTGCATCTCTTCTGCAGCGTAACGGTTTTTGACATATAATGCTACTCCACCTCGTCTTCCTTTTTTTTTTGGTTTCTGTGAAAGAGGTTAAAACCCTCGATGTCTACATTCCAGCGATAGGAGTCATCCCACCAGGTTTCAGTGATCCCTATGATATCATATTTGTGGTGTTGTGCTAAAAGTTGGAGTTTGTCTTGTTTATTTCCCATGCTCTGTGCATTAGTGTAAAGACATGTGAGCCCCTGAGATCTTCCCCTGAGCTGTTTAATTGGGATTATTGTGCTTTCAGTACTTGATCCTCGTTGTGTTTGTGCAGCCCTCCATTTAGCCTCTGGCGGTTCCCTGACATTGTGGGTAAAGTAGTGTTTGCAAGGCTGTTGTCCCCCTACCCCAGCGGGCCTAGTTTAAAGTGCGCCTAATGAGGTTTGCAATGAGTCTGTGAGCAAAAAGGTGCTTTGAAGTGGGTTATCTGAGGGCCCTTCCGCACAGCCCTATATTCCAGAATATCAAGGCAGAAAATCCCATAATGTCTTCTTTGAAGTGGGGGGGCGGGGCGGGGGGGGGGGCAAAATACTGTTTGCTTACACTTGATAATTACCTAAGGCCGGCCCTGCCACCACCACCCCCCCCCCCCCCACCCCCACGGTGCCAGGCGAGGCAGAGAACCCTCCAGGATCAGAGCAGCAAGGCAAGAGCCACACTTGGGAAGAGGGAATGCCAGGAGGAGGGGGGCCATCAGGGCCAGCCCATCGCCTGTTCCCAGGAAGGGAGGGGTTCCCAGGCAGGGAGGGAGCAGCCAGGCTTGGGAGCTGCAAGGCTTTGCAATGCTAAGCGAGGTGATTCACATTGGCCTCAAGCGGACAAGAGTTCTTTCTCCCACCCTGGGCCCCACTCCACAGGGAGAGAGAGAGAGAGAGAGAGACCCCTCCCCCTCTGAGGAGGCTTGCCGCCATTGAAGTGGGAGAAACGTCAGGAGAGAGTGCTCCTGGGACATTCAGTGAGGGTGAGAGAGGGCAATGTGGGGAGCGGGAGGGGGGGGAGAGAGGGGGTTGGGCTTCCTGGGCGCCGGGGGCTGCTGCGGGGCGCCTTCCATCCTAGAAACTCCTCGGGAGCCACGTTTCCCCGCGGAACTCCCCGCCGCAGTGTTCTCCCCGCTCCTGGGTGCGCTCTGCGAGAGGGTCCCGCGGGGGCGTTGGGGTCCTCCTTCCGGCCTGGGCCAGCCCCTCCCTCCCTCGCTCCGTCCCTCCCTCTTTCCGTGTGAGCGGGCTTCTTTCCCTCTCTCTCTCCCCTCAGAGGGAGGCCGCCATCTTCTTCTCCCCTTCTTCTTCGGGCGCCCCGTCAATCAAGGCTGCAGAGAGGGAGGCGGGCGGGCGGGCGGGCAGCCAATGGGGGGCGTCCGATGGGCGGGGCGGCGCGGGCTGGGCCAATGGGAGGGCGGGGGAGGCGGGCCTTCTTCTCGGCGGCCTCAGCACAGCCTCTCCCGCCAAAGCCAAAGCCGCCATTGTCTCCTGAGGCCGGGAAGAGGAGGAGGAGGAGGGTGGAGAGAGACGGAAGAGAGAGGCGGAACACCCCGGCCCTCCTCCTCCTCCTCCTTCGGACTCCGACTCGCCATTCCCGCCCCGGGAGTCTTGCGTGGGGCTGCCCGGCCGAGGAGCTCCAGCAGCACTCTCTCCTGACGCTTCGCCCGCATCTCAGGCAGGCCGGCCGGCTCCCTGTGGAATGGTGTGTGTCCCGGGAGGGAGGGAGGGAGGGAGGGAGGGAGGAGGAGGAGGCACTCTTGCCTGCTGGAGACCAGTGTGAGTGTTGCCATTGGCCGCCTTGAGGAGAAGCACGGGATAGCCTTGCCGCTTCAAGGCCTGGCTGCTTCCTGCCTGCCTGGGGTAATAATGATAATAATAATAATAATGATACTTTATTTCTACCCCGTGGGACTCGGTGCGGCTTACATGAGGCCGAGCCCACAACACAACAATACAAGCAATCACAGCCAAAGTAAGCCACACAGGCAACAACATGAGCATTGGCAACAGTACCACACACTTCTCACATCTAAGGCCAGATGTCATTGGAAAACCAAACTGATGCTGTTCAGGGGCGAGATGAGGGGGGAGGGAGGGGGGGCGTTGGTGGGAACCCCTGAGCAGGCCTCAGTCGAGATCAAGGCCTTGAGAGGGCGGAGGAGGGTTCCTGATTCTGGGAAGGCGCACTGGAACACCCCCCTCTTCCAGCTCCTCCTGAATGAAGACTGCCAGCGTTGGGGCATGCGTGATGTCCTCAGGAAGTCTGTTCCAGAGTCCAGGGGCCACCACCGAGAAGGTACCTCTTGTTTGGGAGGCAATGTGCTGGCCCCGGTGGTTCCCTGCCTGGGATTCCCTCCTTCCTGTGGACATTCATTCCCCTCTTGCTCCTCGTGGACTTCCACGGCTTCTCTGTGTGGCCTGACTTGGGGGCCGTGAGAGCGGCCCAGCCTTTCCGTGTGCTCCAATCATACTCTGTGTCCAGTCTGGCTGACCACGGGCTCTGCAAGGGCGGGCTTCTCTGGTCGGGTCAGTGGGCAGAGCCTGGCGGCCAGGATTAAAAGACTCTAAAATAGTAAATAAAGACTGGGGAGCTCCAGACAAGAAGCGATCAGGGACAGCTAACCACCCGCCAACAAGGGAGGCACTGAGGCAGTCAGGAGCCCGGCCTTGGAGACTGCTGGGCCCTTAAATGCTAATCGTGTGGTCCGGCATTCTTTCCGTGTTCTCCAGGAATAATGCGCCGTGCCCAGGTTGGGTCATCGCGTGCTCTGCTACGGCCGGA